CCCTTACCTCAGTATTTTTTTCTCGTAGTGGACTCGCCCATAGATGTTATAGCTGCAGTCCCCTTGACTGAGCGAGTTCCGAACTACCTACGTTTAGGTCGGCGCTTCCATGCAGAATTGAGGCGTCCCCTTACTATATCTGATAATCTCAGGGTTTCGGTCATGAGATCTATCAGCAGTTTGGAGCTCCAGGCAGTGTTCCTCGCTATCCGTCACCGGGCGCACTGTCTTCCGGGCAACTCGACTGTTGTGTGGTTTAACAAGAGTTTGACCGGGTTACTGTTTCCAGAAGTTCCGTCTGTTTTCCAGTTATAGCCGACACCCATGTCTGTCTCAGAACTTAACATATGCCTGGGTGCAGGTTAAGGTTGGGTATTGCAAAAATTTCCGTATTGCGATATATTGCGGTATGTGTTGGCGTATTCCAATATGTATAGCAATATATTGTGAAAGTGTAACACATGGTTAAGGTAATGAAATTATTGTTTCTTTTCTTTTGAAACAGTGCCACTGGCCACTGTCAGGACTCAGATGTGATTGTACAAGAGATCAATTGAAAATGTTTCCAAATTGAAGACTTCACTTTAAAGTTTGCAACTCGAGAACGAGCGTCTGCAGCGGCGTCCCCCATTTTGTTTGGCTTGTTTATCAACGAGTGGCGGTACCAATCTATATGATTTAAAAGTCACGCAAATGCAATTATATGGCAAATAAACACTCTCAAAACTATTAACGTATAATAATATAGAGGATATACATCATCACGAAAATTACCGATCATGGTCACGGAAATTACCGATCGTATCGGGTGAACAGGTTCACGAAAAGTGTACCGCAATATATCGTATTGTTGTTCTGATTTGAAGCAGTCTAGTGTCCAGTGCCCCTCTTCAACTAGCCAGATGGGGAAACATCCTATAGTGTATCCTCATCCCACGCCAGAACGGTTCAATTAACACACTGCATCTGCAGGCGGCATTTTGCGCCAATTACTTTTTAGCCAGAGTTGAGTTGAGTTGAGTTGGGTTTTGCGTCACATCGGCAGTATTCCAGCCATATAGTGACGAGAACAAGTTTGCATTAATAAACATTGTTACTGCATTGCTGATGAACATAAGACTCCCATCAGGCACATGTATAACAAGGGGCAGTCGTTCGAGCAGTTGTGTTGCCACGAAGCAGGATCCGCGGAATACACACACACACACACACACACACATGTTTTTTAGAAGTTTCCCTGCTGTATTTTTAGACGGAAGGCGTTTCAGGAGGGACATGGCTGCCACTTATGTTAGTGGCAATTCGTTTTAGCAGTCCCCATTGACAGCAGTTACCGTCCGTGCTTCGTTTCTTTAGCACTTGTGTACCCAAGCTGCAGTTTTGACCACCCACCAGGACTCTCAACATGGTCCTGGACCGCCTACGCGTTGAGTTTTACAAGTCACTCACGAACACTTCCCTTGCAGACTTGCACAGCGATAGTGACAAGCGTCATGCGTTTGGTGCGCTTGGTGTTAATTGGATCGCAGTCATGGTTCTGTACCTCTGGGTATTTTATGGGGATTTCATCACTACACACTCGTTGCCAGCTAGGGCGAAATGATCGACGGTTCTCTATTTCGCCCTTATCTTGTGTTGTCGGCGTGAAGACGTTCCTGTGTTCAGCTGGTGTACTCAGTTTGTACATTAAGCGACCTCAAGCCGTCAGAGGCATGTAAGCAAAACCCTGATTGTTTTGTGGATACGGACTTCCTTTATTCATGCGTATAATGTGGCTGGTCTAGTTTCCCCTACATCTATGCCAGCCTCTAGTACTTCGCAAAGTCGCCTCTACTATGGCGCTTCACTGTAACTGTACAGTGGCATTGATAGAAGTCGGACACAGTCTTCGCCAATCAGTATCCACACCACATGTGTCCAACGCTTCGGACCATTGGTGCCAGACCAGCACCTCACCAATCCCTGAAGGATGTCACATCCTACATTGTTGTTCGCAATGAAGCACGACGATGTCGTGTGGGGATGTCGTGTGGGGAATGACTTGTTTTGAACAAAACAACTGGGTATGTCAGTTAAGGAGTAACACTTGGATAGACTCAGGTCCATGCTTCTTACTGCATTCCCTAAAGCCAATAACGCTTTAAAAATCGTCTGGTATATTCCATTTAAGACTACGTGTCTTATATGCGTATTACCACTGCCTGATCGTCACTCGCTGTCCTATCTAGGTGCGACGACGGTTTTCCACCACCGAGGCGCACTTGATAACATTGACCGAGCTGTCTTTGTTTACCTTGCGAGGCGATCCCCACAGATGACACGCCCTCCATCCTGCCTGTCCGATAAATGTGCAGGAATTAAGTAGTGCAGGATTAGTTAAAAATTTAGTAAAATCTAAATATGTTTTATATTTGTATACTTATCCTGCACTACTTATGATAAGGGCCAACCCTGCGCTTTCGGCTACCTCCCCTCTTTGTTTTCATCTGTAGGATTTACGGCAATAATCAGATATTGCTGAGAGCGGCGTAAAACTAAACTCACTCACTCACTCACTGAATGATTCAGTTGTTCATGGGGTCTGCCACACACTCGAATCCATCACAAGCTGAGTCTTGGGTTTCGGGAATGGCAAAATATAAACATTCACGATTCTATGTGGGTATTTATCGTTGGAATTACACTTATATTGTATTGCTGTTTTTGTTTTTAGTTTTTTATTTTAAAGAATTAAAGCTCTTAGATACAACAAAAAGGAGGAGAAAAAAACACATATTCTAATGTAAATGTTATCAGCTGTTCATCTTATATTTCAAAAGACATGTTTCCTCAAAATTGTATCCAGATCACGACAGGCTATATTTCTATAACTAGCACAATATAATCATTAATAGGTATATTACATATAATAATAATAATATCACATAATAATAATAAGTCTTAATCTGTAAAACATAATAATAATGATAATGGTTTAGTTTGTTGTCATGTTTACAAACAGATAACATGGTGTAAGATCACAAAACATGGCTGTAAAGTGTGGGGTATCGTAAAATGTTCTGAATTTGAAAGAATTCAGTTAAATTCGCAGGCGTATTTGCAGATCAATGCCAAATCATCTACAGTTTCTGTGTACGGCGAACTTGAGAGGTACCCTTTATATTTAATAGGTATATCCGTGTGTTACGTTATGGGTTTAAGTTATTATACAGTGAAAACTGCATATAGCGGGTTGTTTATAGGTTTTTTTAAATGGTCTAATTAATGGTTATAAATCATGGTTACGTAGTGTTAAAATGTTTTTGTATAGAATTGGTTATGGGCATGTTTGGGAATTTCCAATTGTAAATGTTGATAAATTTTGTAAAGTTGTTAAGCAACGTCTCATTGATATCTATATTCAGAAATGGAGATCTTTACAAAATTTAAAAGAACTTTTTTGTTTTGAATTGTATTTGGATCTAGTTAGAAATCCTAGTGATATGAAAACAATCACGCAAATGCGAACATCTATTCATCGCCTTATGATAGAAATTGGTAAGATACAGTAATATTCCAGGGGAAGATTGTATTTATGATTATTGCAATAGCCAGGGTAAAATCTTTGTTGAAGATGAGTTTCATTTTATTTTGATTTGTCCTAAATATTCCCAGTTTAGAAAGTTATATATTAAAAGCTTCTATTGGGTTAGACCAAGTTTATGTCACTGTTTAGATATTCCAATAAATCTGCCTTGCGAAACTTAGCTAAATGCATTAAACTTTCTACTGAAGTAAGAACTCAAACACAATACATTGTCCAGCCTCCATAAATTGTCTGTAAATATATCCTATGTCCTGTACAGGCCTGTACACCATGTGTTTTGGAGACGAGGAACACATTTGTTCAAGTCCAAAAATAAATTCTTTTCTTCTTCTTCTAAACACCACGCTTGTGAGTAGGAAAGATTATTCGTATCTGGTTGTAACAATATAATACATGGGGACACTCTTTACCGGTTACGGTAATCCATTAATTAATCTATTGGAAATGTGGCTTTACCGGCTACAGCCATGTAATTGAAATGTGGCCTTCCTGGCAATAGTCATTTTTGAAATGTGGCTTTCCCGGCCTGTCACCTCTGATACTAAGTGTCAAGTGCTTGAGAGAGGGTGGAGGAGATTATATGGAGGGAAAGTTCTCATACCTCGTATGTTGATATCAAATGACAAAATGGAGAGGGAGAGAATACTGGGTAGAGAGAGAAGGATGGGGAGGGAGAGGTGGATGGAGAAAAGGATTGGGAGGGAGAGATCACTGTTGAGGGAGAGATGGTTGGGGAGGGAGAAAAGGATTGGGAGGGAGAGATCACTGTTGAGGGAGAGATGGTTGGGGAGGGAGAGGAGGATGGAGAAAAGGATTGGGAGGGAAAGATCACTGTTGAGGGAGAGAAGGATTGGGAGGGAGAGGAGAAAGAGAAGGATGGTGATTGAGAAGTGGATGGTGAAGGATGGGAAGGAGAGAAAGATCGGGAAGGAGAGAATGATTGTTGCCGTGAGAAGGATTGTGATTGAGAACAGGATGTGAGATAGAGAAGAATAGGGAGGGTGAGAAGGATAGGGAGGGAAATGAGAACAAGAAGGATGTGATTGAGAAGAGGATGGTGAAGGAGAGAAGGAAGACGGATGGTGAGAGAGAGGAGAATGGTGAAGGAGATTAAGCAAGAGAGAAGGATGTTGAGGGAGAGAAGGAAAGTTCATGTATTTCATCCTCTGATACCAAATGATAAGAGAGTGGGAGAGTCTGTGGGAGAGATACTAAGTGTGAGAGGTTGGGGTGGGTGGGGTGAGATGGTAGGAAACGACAGAGAGAGGGAGAAAGAGAGAGAGAGGGAATATTTGTATCTCATATGCTTGCATGCTAAGTGTCAAGTGTGAGAGAAAGCCAGGGGGAGAGAGTGGAGAGAGAAATTTCTCCTATCACGTTGTATATTGTACCCATGTTGACGTTTCTTTGGTAGGACGATGCTGGTTGACAGTTGTTCAGATTGAAGACACCGATGAACGACAAGAAGTGAAGTCAGAACAATATCGTTGGAAGCTGTATATAGATGTGATGGAGGAAGGCCAAAGACAGACAGATGAAGGTGACACAGAGAATAGCGGATGCTCACCAGCAAGGTGCAGAACAGACACTGACGAGGACAATCCATTAGATGAGGAACACATGGAACTTGCAGGTATTACCACGGGCAAACCACATGGATCGACTGAAGGAGCTGGCATGGAGGATGCAGAAAATAAAGATGTTGACGAAGAGAGTGACGGACTTAGTGATGGCACAGGCGAGGATGAAGATGATGGGAAACAGGACGTGCCACAACTTGAAGCTGGTGCTGTCAAACTCAAGACTGTTCACCAACAGTATTACCAACTTGTAGGTAAAGGTATGTGTTTTTTAATAAAATAAAGATAGAAGGTGATGCATACATGCTTGTGTGTATCAGAATTAGAAAAGCCGTGTGAGAAACAGGCTTCAAAATGTACAGTAGCTTCTTGGTTTGGACTCCCTTTAGGCTTAGCCAAGCAAAGTAAAACAAAGAATATTTGATGCTTTTGTACAAAAACGGGTTACCTGTAGTTACCGTTATGTTGTGAGGATTTGTGACTACTGTTGAGGCTGTATGATGAAGTTATGGACTTTACTGAGGTCTGTGATGGTGAAAACCAGATTAAGTAACTGAACTTTACAATCCTGACTTTCTTCTGTGCTGTTTAATCTACAAATGGAAACTATCTTTTGTATGTATTACATGTCATTTTAACAATGCTAGTATTTATACGATATTTGTTTGTGTCGTTGGAGATACAACTGTGACCCGTTTGTTTCCGTCGTAGATACCACGGCACTAGCACAACACATTGTAGGATGTTGTCAGCCACCACAGGGAGACATAGCATCAGCACCGCAGCAGCAACAGCAACTCCAACCAGTTTCAGCTGGTGATGCTGATCCAACTACAAGTCAAGCACAGCTGTCCACATCTACATCTTGTGTAGTTCCTGAAACACCAAGTCTACCTGTTCCAGGAACACCATCCCTGACACCAGCGGCCACATCTACATCTTGTGTAGTTCCTGAAACACCAAGTCTACCGGTTCCAGGAACACCAGCCCAGACACCAGCGGCCACATCTACATCTTGTGTAGTTCCTGAAACACCAAGTCTACCGGTTCCAGGAACACCATCCCTGACACCAGCGGCCACATCTACATCTTGTGTAACTCCTGAAACAACAAGTCTACCGGTTCCAGGAACACCAGCCCTGACACCAGCGTCCACATCTACATCTTGTGTAGTTCCTGAAACAAGTCTACAGGTCCCAGGAACACCGACCCTGACACCAGCGTCCACATCTACATCTTGTGTAGTTCCTGAAACAGGTCTACAGGTCCCAGGAACACCAGCCCTGACACCAGCGTCCACATCTACATCTTGTGTAGTTCCTGAAACAAGTCTACCGGATCCAGGAACACCAGCCCTGACACCAGCGGCCACATCTACATCTTGTGTAGTTCCTGAAACAAGTCTACAGGTTCCAGGATCACCAGCCCTAACACCAGCGTCCACATCTACATCTTGTGTAGTTCCTGAAACAAGTCTACAGGTTCCAGGAACACCAGCCCTAACACCAGCGGCCACATCTACATCTTGTGTAGTTCCTGAAACAAGTCTACAGGTCCCAGGAACACCAGCCCTGACACCAGCGTCCACATCTACATCTTGTGTAGTTCCTGAAACAAGTCTACAGGTCCCAAGAACACCAGCCCTGACACCAGCGTCCACAATGTCTCCCAGAATACCAGGATCTGTTGTGTCAGAGATACAGTCTGAGGTACCAGGGACTGGGGACACTGTTGCAGGTGAGTGTCATGATAAACTTGGTTCAGGTATCGAATACCTACAATGAAATATACTATGCAGAAAAGGTAGATGATAATAATATTTTACGGTGAATCTAGGGAAACATACACCGATGTCTGGTTATGAAAACAAACTTTTTATGTGGTATTTCTGAAGAAATCAAGCTCCCAAACATAATGCTTAGGCAGTCATCACCTCGGACACCTCTGCAAGGGGTGGTATGCCAGATTTACTATTGCCATTCAGATCTCTGCTGTGAGCAGATGCATATTGTTACCTTGGAATCAAACACTCTGTTTAACACATTTAATCATTATGAAAATAACAGTATTGATCATGCGAATTTTGCGACTTACTTGGTGTTTTGGGCCTTTACCCCTTAGGCATTTAGCAGGCCAACACAGATCAGAATGTTGAGTCCCAAACGCATGTTGCATGTCTCTCAACTTGTCGTTAGCAGTATGTAGGGCCAATACTAAGCAACACATAACATCGATAATCAATGCCACTCTGGACATCCAAGGGCAACAACTCCAGCCGAGCAGAGGCATTAGTCAGGACGATGGCATTGAGAAATCGGCTGCAAACTGCCACTCAGATAAGGGGTCACTTGCAACAGGCAACTGATGCAGCAGTACTTGTCCACATGGTAGGAACTCGGCCATACAGATGGCATTTCCATGCGTTACGGCCACACTTTGTCCCACAACTGACTGCACGTCATTTGAATCCGAGATGTCAGTGATGTAGGGACTGTCAGTATCAGCTGATGTCCTGTTCTATCAGGAATCACTCGTGTGTGTGTGTGTGTGTGCGTGCGTCTGTCTGTCTGTGTCTGTCTGTCTGTCTGTGTGTGTGTGTGTGTGTGTGTGTGTGTGTGTGCGTGCGTGCGTGCGTGTCCCCCTGACCTTTTCCCCACTGAACACGCCTGGGTCGTCATTGACAGCCATCTACACGTCATCCCCCCACATCTCTCAATGAACTCAGTGCTGATGTTACTGATAAGTGGAACAATATTAGTTAAGATAACATTGGTCAACCTTTCAGAAGCATGCCAATAAATTCTTGCATGTTGAGCCAACAGAGGTGGTTTTACCTTATATTATTGATGTTGACTCCACTGTGCTAAATGTGAAGTTCACAGTCCTAGCCCCTTAGACGATATCGTGATCCACAGTCTAATCACAACAACTATTAGAACCAATTAGATCTGATCGCACGCTTCTCAGTTGGTATAATCATCTCACTAGAGGTGACTATTGATGGAGGAACAACTATTGCGATAGCGATAGTCTATTGCAACGTACATACTATTGGGATAGCGATAGTCTATTGCAACGTACATACTATTGGGATAGCGATAGTCTATTGCAACGTACATACTATTGGGATAGCGATAGTCTATTGCAACGTACATACTATTGGGATAGCGATAGTCTATTACGACATACATACTATTGGGATAGCGATAGTCTATTGCAACGTACATACTATTGGGATAGTGATAGTCTATTGCGACCAACTATTGCAATAATATTGCCAAAGTTTTTTCTCCTTGAATTGTGTTATTTGAAGTCATTTCCCAAATGAATGTATATTGTTTAAACTAAATAAAAAGAAGCTGAAGTAGATTGAATATCTGTCAAGAAACTTGAACCCAGATCAAATAAACAATTAAAACATTACCTTATTGTTATTCACAATTTCAACCTCCGAGTTGCAAGCCGTGTTTGCCGCCATGTTTGTTTAAGAGGTACCAGGGACGGATAACTCTAAATCAAAGTGAATATTAATCTGGTACTTCCTGTATTTTGTGCTGCGCATTTATCAACGGAAGCCAATTACTAAAATATCGATAGTCACACATACTATCGATGCATCGACAGTTTTTTGTTTCTACCATCGATTATTGCTATCTGTGATTGAACAATTGCAATCCATCGATAGTTCGATGCATCATTAGCACTAGCATTTACCAAATTCCCAATATCACTCACTATTTTAACATGAAGGTGAATGCCTTCATACAGCTGTCTTTAGACACTGCCGTGATGTTGAAGATATTGAAGAGTTGCTCCTTTTCTTCATAATCTTCTTCGCACATTGTCTGGGGCGGCCAATGAAGCAAAGAAGGATTTCTCAAAAGATAATATCACCAAATATTCATTAGCTTCAGCTCCACCCTCCGAAGGCCTGTCTTCAGGTGAGGTGTATATTTTCTGTTCTTGGGGAACACTGACTGACTGACTGACTGAGTTTGGTTTTACGCCGCTTTTAGCAATATTCCAGCAACATCACGGCGGGGGACACCAGAAATGGGCTTCACAAATTGTCTTGGGGAACACTGGCACTCGAGTTGCCACTACCATTTGGAAATGAGATGAGACAAGTAATTACTATGAGGTAATGTCACTATAGTCATACACAGTGTATTGTGTCCGTTCATGTTTTTGTCTGTTTTCAGAATCACTAGAGATGTCTATGTTCAAGAATTACACCTACCGAAGCCTCTGTCACATGCTTTCTGTTCCAGTCACACAGTGTAAGAGTTACCAAGTACAACACAACTTTGGAGATGTGACAGTCAAGGGCGCTAAGAATTTGAACATTGGCGGAACTCAGAATGTCGGTAGACCTCCCACCAACCAGGAGGAAGAGGAGAAGCCACTGACTGCAGCACAGAAGATCAGGAGTGAGTTATTTGTCAACATTTCCATACAATGATTGGTCATCTGAGGGAAATTTACAATTAATCATGGCTCTTGTAGTCTAAATCCCGGTTGGCCACCTGTAAAGGAAGTAGTGAGTGAGTGAGTTTAGTGTTACGCCACTTTTAGCAATATTCCAGCAATATCAAGGCGTAAAGGAAGTAATCTCAAATCCATTTTCCCCTTAAGGTCCCACTAAGAATTCGTCAGCAAATCATGCTTGTCTTAAGAGTTGGCTATTAAGATTAGGTGTTCATGTTCACCAACTTAGCGCCGATGATGACAAGCATCAACCATCATCTCTAGGAACATTGAGGACGTCATAGTTAAGATGTTAAGGAGAACCTCTTGTATAATAATAATCTTCGAGCAGATGTTTTCAGGACAAACTGAGTAAGTTTGTACATCCTCATCACTTCACAGTTTTATGGCCTGTTATAAATGTATATCACAGAAAGATTGCTAAGTCTTCATGACATAAATATCATGTGACAAATAAGAAAAGAAATATGGTGGAACACAATGACTGAGCAACCCTAAAAGGACCTCAGCTGCCTGATGAACAGACCGTCATACAGACATGGATGTGATGTGGCACACAATGACTGAGCAACCCTAAAAGGACCCCAGCTGCATGATAAACAGACCGTCATGCAGACATGGATGTGATGTGGAACACAATGACTGAGCAACCCTAAAAGGACCTCAGCTACATGGTAAACAGACCGTCATGCAGACATGGATGTGATGTGGAACACAATGACTGAGCAACCCTAAAAGGACCCCAGCTGCATGATAAACAGACCGTCATGCAGACATGGATGTGATGTGGAACACAATGACTGAGCAACCCTAAAAGGACCTCAGCTGCATGATGAACAGACCGTCATGCAGACATGGATGTGATGTGGAACACAATGACTGAGCAACCCTAAAAGGACCTCAGCTGCATGAAGAACAGACCGTCATGCAGACATCGATGTGATGTGGAACACAATGACTGAGCAACCCTAAAAGGACCTCAGCTACATGGTAAACAGACCGTCATGCAGACATGGATGTGATGTGGAACACAATGACTGAGCAACCCTAAAAGGACCTCAGCTGAATGCACTAATGCTCACTCATCGTCAAAGATGTCATCTGACGACTGAGGAATTCGATACATAGGAATGCTTGGAACTGGGTTGTATACCTGGAGAACATTCCCACATGTGATAACACCTACCTGTCGCAGATCGTCCTTATCACAGTTGGGTAGTGATTTACGAACACTCGCTCACGACATGATTAAAATCATACAACTCAGCTTTAAGCATATATGTCTTATAATGATGGAAACAATTTTATTAGTGTTATTCTGTATTTCTGGTACTTGGGCCGTTCCCTGTACTGGGTAGGACATTCTTCTTTCACATGTAGATCCTGTTATGGATCACAATTAAATCAGTCAAAATTTAATCGTTATGTAAACTGTCTGCTTACAATAACTTACAGACAGATAATGAAAGACAATAGTTCAATTTGACAATTTCAGTTTTTTAAACTGATCCTATCTCACGTAGTGTAATCTTTCTTCTTGATTCGACAGCTGAGTTGAAACGAACTGCAAACAAAGTTTTTGGCCTCTCTTGTACCATTCGCCCAAACACTCCCTCTGCTCCCTCTGAATCCTCTTCATTCGGCGAACGTCCAATTGGTGAATCGCCATTCCGCTAACGTCCAATTGGCAACTGTTCAGTCGGCGAATGCCCAATTGGTGAATCGCCATTCCGCTTACGTCCAATCGGCAATTCGAAGGGTACTGAAGGATTTGCCGAATCTAAGTCATACTGCGTAGGGTTATCTCTTTGATCTTTAGCTCCCCCGTCCGCGGTTGATTTCGGGGGTCGTAGTTTGTAGAGAAGTGCGACATCCTGAGAGCTGATTATGTAGGCCTTTGTTCCCAACGGGTCTACTGGATTAGCTAGGCGATGAGTGGGGTAGTTGAGATGATCATTCTACCACTACTACCCTAGATGGGATCATAACTCTAGGCGTGACAGTTTCCGATGGCCGGAAGAAAGAACGCAAATTTAGGCTGAGGTAGGTAGATGAAGCTTCTCGAATCTCTTCACAGTCAGTGGTAGGCGAGACTGAACGTGTGGTCACTATATCTGGACGTTCCTCTGTTTGTGTCCTTGTTTTCTTGGCCGCTGAAGGACCATGTTTATCTGATTTATTTCTTAAATCCCTGTCAGATAACTTCCGAATCCCAACTTTACGATTGGACGCAAATACATCATCATTTAATTTCTTGCAATAATTGCTTCTCTTATCCAAACTGCATGAACCAATGAAAACTATGCATGATGGGTGGGGTCCAATGAAGAGAAAATCCTTTTGCATTGGGAGCAATACTTTCTTTTCATTGATGCAGAATCTTGTTTACCCATGGTGGGCTTATTCAAATTCAGATTTCTTCACTTCGTTTATAGCACGTCTGCACCACAGTGCGACAATGAAGAGAATTATAATGTAACTCCCTTGTCTGATTAATCAGGAGGCTTACTGCATGCCTCACAGGGCATGCTGCATGCTTCACAGAGGCTGAGGGGTTATTGTGAGGGAGCAGAGGGGAGTGTTTGGGCAAATGGTACAAGAACGGCGAAAAACTTTGTTTGCAGTTTGTTTCGACTCAACTGTCGAATGAAGAAGAGAGAGTACACTACATGAGATAGGATAAGTATAATAAATATACAATTTATAGTTAAAATTTCAAATTTAGAATTCTCTGATTTGTGACATATATTGTTAATATTTCAACAAGACTTTCACAGGACGTTTTATTTTGTATTTTTAACCAATTTTAAATTATTATTTTATATATCACAGGTTGTCTTGAAATGATTTGATATAAAGTTTGGTAAAAAGGTTGTGTTCACAATAGGCCTGAAATTTTGTCAACCTACTTAAAAAACCTCTCTTATTTGACGAATATTAAACTATAGATTCTTGGAGAAAGGTGCTAAAATTTGAAGGTTGTTTACTATTACACATGTTATATATATTTTTTGACAAATGAAATGTGCCCCTTTCCACAGAAAGAACATCATCTAGGATACAGTCATGGACTAAAGACATGGTGGAGACAGACGCCCTGAAGAAAGTGAAGGGGAAGATAGACAGAGGAGCAACATGGGTGACAATTAAAGGAAGACCAGGAGAGGGGAAGTCTACAACAGCCTACATGGCTCTCAAACACCAGCACAGTCAGGGGAGACAAGTATACCAGGTGGAGTCACCAGAAGAATTCAGTGACGTCGTATTGGCCAGCAAGAACGCTGTAATTATGTTAGATGACATATTCGGTGATTTGAAATTTGACGCAGCTGAGTGGGTGAAGTGGAGACCACGTTTAAGACCTATTGTCGGTAGGAAACACCCTAACACGAATACTGAACATAAAGGACAAAGCAAAATAATCATTATCCTCGTAGGCCGTGACTATGCGCTGAAATCCTCATTGGCATATTTGGGAGGGATTGCAGATTACATATCTAGCCCCAAATATGTGGTGGAAGTTTCCTCACAGGGAGGCTCTTATGAACGAAGGAAGATATGGCGAGTTCATGCTAAAGGAAAGAACATACAATTTGAAGAGTCAACTGTGTCTCGGATATGTGAGGCTGACTGTCCACACGGGTTTCCCCATGTCTGTAGAATGTTTGTGGCAACATATGAAAAGGATCAGACTCAGCTTCCAGAGACTTTTTTCCAAGAGCCCATTGCTTTCCTCGACAAGACTTTGTATAAGCTTTCTAAAGACAAGTTAACACGTTCACTGTTCATGGCTATGATACGGAGAGATGGGATGGTTACTGGTCAAGAAATGGAGGAGGACGATAGCCTTGGGTATGAATGCATAGCAGCTGCTGATGATTTGGTTGGATCTTATCTCAGGAAGGAAGATGACACGTACATGTTTGATCATCCATCTATATATGACAATGTGGCCTTAATTCTCAGTTCAAAGCAATCACAATTTGTCATAGAAAATTGTAGTTTGTCATTTATCCGTCAGCGACTTTGTCTTGCACCCTCCGGAGAAACAGGGAGAAACGTTGCTGATGAGACAGATCTTGTTGCAAATATCCCATGGACTTATGCTAAATATTTAGCTAGAAGATTTGCAACTGAGATTAAAAGGAGCAATTTGTTGCATGTTTTATCACACCAGGCATGTTGTAATTCAGACTTTGTTGACTTGCTCATGGACAACTTGAAGACATACAGTGGCATGTCTGTTCCTGATATTCTGAAACTAAGTGATAATTCGTCAAAACAGTCATTTTGTGAATTACTTTCCAGCAACAAGTCACAGCATATCATCAAATATCTTATGGAGAAAGAAAATATATCATTCAGCCAGAGTGAAGGAAGGGATATTTTATTGGGTGTGTGCATGAATGCAGCTTGCAATGTATTGACCTACATCAGTGGACACATGAAACTTGAGATGACTGCTAGATATGGAAGGGAGGAGAAGACACCTCTTATGTTAGCAGCAGAAACCAGAGACAGTGTGTTTGTCAGTCAGATTTTGTCCCTTGGTCCTGACCTGAAAGCAAGAGACAATTACGATCAAACTGTCTTTCGTTACCTCTGCCGATATGGCCTTACCTCTGCTGTGGAATATGTGATTAACACTGGTGTAAAGGTCGACGACCATCGTGCTCCATATATCTTGCCATAGGTACGGTCACTTAGAGGTGGTGAAATTGTTGGTTGAAAGAAGAGTTCATATAGATAACCAGCAAGGTCTTAGATGTGCTGTTATAAGCCAGAATGAAAACATGGTTGGTTTTTGGTTAAACAGAGGAGCAGAGGTCGACAGTACTGCTGTGTGCACAGCATGTGAGTTAGGGACTTGAATATAGTGGAGATGTTGTTTGAGAAGGGTGCTAATGTCAACATGATGTTGCCTGATGGAGATACTCTTTACTCGGCTCATGCAGAGGAAACCCTACCGTTGTGTTGTATTTACTGAAGAAAGGAGCAAGTGTGAGCCAAGCTTCACATGCTACAGGTGACACACCACTTCACAGAGCAGCAGGAACGGGATCTGCAGAGTGTGTTGATGTGTTAGTGAAGGCTGGAGCGGATGTGAATGTACAGAATACTACAGGTGACACACCACTTCATAGAGCAGCAGGACGGGGATCTACAGAGTGTGTTGATGTGGTACTGATGGCTGGGGTAGATGTGAATGTACAGAATAATACAGGTAACACACCACTTCATACAGCAGTAGGACAGGGATCTACAGAGTGTGTCGATGTGTTAGTGAAGGCTGGAGCAGATGTGAATGTACAGAATAATACAGGTGACACACCACTTCATACAGCAGCAGGACAGGGATCTGCAGAGTGCGTTGATGTGTTAGTGAAGGCTGGAGCAGATGTGAATGTACAGAATACTACAGGTGACACACCACTTCACAGAGCAGCAGGACGGGGATCTACAGAGTGTGTTGATGTGTTACTGAAGGCTAGAGCAGATGTGAATGTACAGAATAATACAGGTGACACACCACTTCATACAGCAGCAGAGAGGAAATCTGTAGAAAGTGTTGATGTGTTACTGAAGGCTGGGGCTGATGTTAATATACAGAATAATACAGGTGACACACCACTTCATACAGCAGCAGAGAGGAAATCTGTAGAAAGTGTTGATGTGTTACTGAAGGCTGGGGCTGATGTTAATATACAGAATATTACAGGTGACACACCACTTCATACAGCAGCAGAGAGGAAATCTGTAGAAAGTGTTGATGTGTTACTGAAGGCTGGGGCTGATGTTAATATACAGAATAATAGAGGTGACACACCACTTCATACAGCAGCATCCGTGTATGGATCTACAGATTGGAGATCTGCAGGGTGTGTTGATGTGTTACTGGTGGCCGGAGCTGATGTTCATGTACAGAATAATACAGGTGACACACCACTTCATACAGCAGTGGTGTTGGGATCTACACATAGTGTTGTTGATGTGTTACTGAAGGCAGGAGCTGATGTTAAAGTACAGAATAATACAGGTGACTCATCACTTCATATAGCAGCAGGACGCGGATCTACAAAATGTGTTGATGTGTTACTGAAGGCAGGAGCAGATGTGAATATACAGAATAATACAGGCGACACACCACTTCATAGCGCAGCTCAGTGGAGATATGCAGCGTGTGTTGCTGTGTTACTGAAGGCTGGAGCAGATGTGAATATACAGAATAATACAGGTGACACACCACTTCATACAGCAGCAGGACAGGGATCTACAGAGTGTGTTGCTGTGTTACTGAAGGCCGGAGCTGATGTTCATGTACAGAATAATACAGGTGACACACCACTTCATACAGCAGCAGGACAGGGATCTACAGAGAATGTTGTCGTGTTTCTGAAGGCTGGGGCTGATGTAAATATACAGAATAATGCAGGCGACACACCACTTCATACAGCAGCATCAGCGTATGGATCTATACATTGGAGATCTACAGATTGTGTTGATGTTTTATTGAAGGCTGGAGCGGATGTTAATTTGCAGAACAAAACAGGTGAAACACCACTTCATGGATCAGCAAGACGAGGATTTGTAGAGAGTGTTGATATGTTACTGAAAGCTGAAGCTAATGTTAATATAAAGAATAATACAGGTGACACACCACTTCATGAAGCAGCAGGACGGGCATCTACAGAGTGTGTTGATGTGTTACTGAAGGCTGGAGCGCATGTTAACTTACAGGATAATACAGGTGACACTCCACTTCATACAGCAGCAGGACGGGGATCGACAGAGTGTGTTGATGTGTTACTGAAGGCTGGAGCACATGTTAATGTACAGAACAATACAGGTGACATAACCACTTCATAGAACAGCAGTGTGTGGGAAAGTACTGACAGTGTTGCTGTGTTAGTGAAGGCTGGAGCACATGTTAATGTACAGAATAATAGAGGAGACACAACACTTCATAGAGCAGCAAGAGGGGGATCTAGAGAGTATGTTGATGTGTTACTGGTGGCTGGAGCAGATGTTAATGTGCAGAACAAAACAGGTGTCTCACCACTTCATGAAGCACTAGTACCAGCAGTGTGGGGATCTACAGAGTGTGTTGATGTGTTACTGAAGGCTGGCGCTGATGCTAATGTACAGAATAATACAGGTGACACACCACTTCATACAGCAGTGGTGTTGGGATCTATACAGAGTGTTGTTGATGTGTTACTGAAGGCTGGCGCTGATGTTAAAGTACAGAATAATACAGGTGACACACCACTTCATATAGCAGCAGGACGCGGATCTACAAAATGTGTTGATGTGTTACTGAAGGCAGGAGCAGATGTTAATGTACAGAATAATACAGGTGACACTCCTCTTCATAAGGGAGCAATGTTGGGATTTGCACAGCGTGTTGATTTGCTACTAAAGGCTGGAGCAGATGTTAAAGTACGGAATATTACGGGTGACACACCACTTCACACAGCAGCAGAATGGGGATCTACAAAATCTGTTAATGTGTTATTGAAGGCTGGAGCACATGCTAATGCAAAGAATAATGCAGGTGACACACCACTTCATAAAGCTACAGGACGGGGATCTACAAAGTGTGTTGATGTTTTACTGAAGGCTGGAGCAGATGTTAATGGACAGAATGATACAGGTGACACTCCTCTTCATATAGTAGTAGGAGCAGAAGTATGGGATCCTACAGAGTGTGTTGATGTGTTAATGAAGGCTGGAGCAGATGTGAATGTACAGAATAATACAGGTGACACACCACTTCATACAGCGGCAGAACAGGGATCTACAGAGTGTGTTGATGTGTTACTGAAGCCTGGGGCTGATGTTAATATACAGAATAATACAGGTGACACACCACTTCATAAAGCAGTAGGACAGGGATCTACAGAGTGTGTTGATGTGTTACTGAAGGCTGGGGCTGATGTTAATATACAGAACAATACAGGTGACACACCACTTCATACAGCAGCAGAGAGGAAATCTGTAGAAAGTGTTGAAGTGTTTTTGATGGCTGGAGCAGATGTTAATGAACAGAATACAGGTGACACACCACTTCATAAAGCTACATGACGGGGATCAACAAAGTGTGTTGATGTTTTACTGCAGGCTGGAGCAGATGTTAATGTGCAGAAAAATACAGGTGACACTCCTCTGCTCCTTGACACTTATCTTCATGCATAAAATGTATGAAAATACCTGACACTTTTTCGTTGTCAAGCAAACCAAGTTTGATTGGAGATTTCACTTCCTTATTGTAAGAATTGAGCTGAAGAGTAAACGCAAGATATTTTATGGATGGCAACTTTACTCTTTTTCAGGAGAGGTCTTCCTAGCAGTAAATATGAGCATTTTCTGCGACTGAAACTGTCCTGTCACCCTCGTAACAATGTTTTGATTTTGTATATACAAATAATTGTCTTTTTTTCAATTATACGGACCCCCACCTTCACGTGGGATTACCTCCCTTACCATGCATGCGCGGGTAGCCAGGTGTATTCCTTGGGGGTTCGGCCTCTCTTTCGAGCCCTGGCGCCTAAACAGTACAGGCTGATTCTGCCGTTTTCCCAAATCGGGAGCCCCTCTGCGTGCGCCGTACCGATACTTTGAGGAGCAATATCAGACCGCTAGTTAGCAGGTGCGGGTGGTGGTCCATGGCGCATACCTCCCTTGTTACAGAGGTCTGTCTTGGAAGAGGAGGGGAACCCCGGTGATGTGTCACCACATCTGGTTCTCCTCCGTCAGCCAACCGAGGTTCAGGTTCACCTGACACGAGACTTGGGCGCAGTTATGGGCAAGCACCCACTGTGGCTGTCGATGTCTCCCTGCTCGACAGCTACACCGCAAACCTTGTTGGCCCTCTCGTCTCGGTTGGGAGCTACCTTTTTTCCAGGGGCTCAGAAGGTTAATTGGGAGGCTATGGAGACGGCAACTTCCTTCAAGGACTCTAAGGCCCTGTTGGAACAGTCGCAGAATGTTCGCACCCTTACCCCCATGATGGGTTCTTCCTTAATGATGCAGCCTACATCCTACTCAAAACCTTTGGTGCAAATTCTGGTACCCAGTTGTTCTGCTGTTACCGTAGCGGGGAAGTGTTAACCTGCTAGCAAGCAGACAGTTTCTCGTTGTCTGTTCGGCTTACAATGCTAAGGGTTAGTCTTCTCCCGAAGAGTTGAAGTCTTATTCGTATAGCAGAGCGTATAACAGATAAAACACAAGTTATTTAATTTGTACAATATTGTAATAAAGCATTGTTACAACTGTCACAGGACGTTATCGCTTTGTCTTCAAAGAATTGAAAACCCATACGGGTTTGGCTTATTGTATCATAAATCATCAAAAGGTCCATAGTGAAACTTAATACAGATTCTGTTATATTTTCTTTCCTGTTCTGTTATGATGCTCAATTTCAGTTTAGATTGTTATACCATTGTCTTGATTGACAGCAGTAAAGGGGTCTTCACTGAAATGTATTACAAGTTTTGTTACCCGTGTTCGTTACGAATTTTGAGTGGTCAGATTTATTCATTCCAGTTGTGTTCCTTGCAGGAGAGAGAATTATGACGGTCACGATACTGCAGGACATATTTCCATCTGTAGCTAACACTTAATGCTATGAGTACAAGGAAGGGTCGAAATCTGCTTGAACCCACGAGGTAGACCACGACCGCATATTTTCTTGCAACAGATCTAGAATTCACACTGGACGTGTAACTTGACAAAATTCTTCACGGTCCGACTACTTTTTGACTGTCCCTCGTATCATATCCCGAACTGTATTTCCAATTTCAACCGTGACCTTTTACCTTGTATTACACTCTGAAGATGTCTAGTGACGTCCATGTTCAACATGTCAGTCTATATTATCTCTGCCCTTCACTGTTCCGGTTATCAAATACATGAATGATATATTGCACCCCATCTCTTGAGTATAAGAAGAATATGAGGCCTTCGCCTGTTGAGAGTCGTATGCAGTTACTTCCAGTAATGCATGGACAATTATGGCGAAAGATACAACCACACTATGTTCCCCTTGATCAGTGATTGATACTGTGCAGCGCTGCTATGGTGAAAACGTTGGTAGACAATTTTGGTTGTTTGGTTGCTTTTGATAACTCGTAACTTTACATGGAGATTTTTTCTGGCATCCTGACGCCGTCGGTTCCAAATGAATTCCCGTGCTTCAAATACTCAATAACACCCGGAAATTGGCCAACACATGATGTTTATCTTCTAATTAACATGTCGCTTTGTTGAACAGTACACCCCCAACCCCTCTCTTAAAAAGCTGTATCCGCCCCTGCAAGGTAATAATTGCTTTAAGTCATTGAGGAAATTATATATTCATTTATGAATGGCGCTTTTGACAATACACAATGTGCGGTTCCGGAGCTATTATACAGTCTCAGGGAGAGGCAGGAAACATGGTCATTGTATGAAGGGAGCAACAATGAATAGGACAAGGTCTGTCAGTTGGATGCATTTGGACTCATGCAAAATATCACATTATGTTTCTATCCTCAGTGAATATTCCCACAAGAACCAATATTTCTGTCTGGGGCAAGAACGCTCTGTATTTTGAGTCAATAATTGAATACCTAAATTCTTTAGCATTGATATATCTCGTTTCTGCTTGAAATTCACAATTCTGACAAGGCAGGCATTTTGTATCACAGAGCAACTACATATGAATTAATCGTCACTTAATAGGACATTATTCACAGGCGAAATATTGCTCCATAGTCATGGAGAGGTAGGCAGTGTGATTAATTCTTTTTGAACGAATATGAATATTTGTATAGACCTTACCGTCTATGCTTTTCGTATCGTTCATTCTGTGGCGAATATTCCCACAAAAGTAAAGGTTTTCGACGTACTTAACTAATTTGAGAGGCATTTCATCACATGTTTGATAACAGTGTCAGCATATACACCGACACGTCAGACGTATTGTAATAAAGAAGTTGTATATACAACTATCTCCCTTGTGTTTACCTTCTTTCTGGGGTAAGACTTCCGCCCGTATCTCCCTCCCCAACCCCTCCCCTAAATTTTAACGATGAGGAAAAAAGAAGTTGAATATATCTTTCAAAAATGTTCAGATAGATTAAAGAAACACGTTAAAAGTCACCCTCATCAGGTGGGGAATATATACAGGTGATATGATTTGACTAGAATGAAATTAAAGGGGGGATACTTTTGGAATCTTTCTCTGTCTGGAAGGTAAATAATGAAAACGTTTAAATGTTCTTAATAACAAAAAGACCCATCTTTCAAAATCAATACGTCAACCATGTATCGATTAAGATTAATGACGATAATTGTCAGTAGTAATATACGAGCATATTATCATGCTATGTCAATGACAACGATAGAATCGTCTGTTTATCACATTCAAAAGGACAACGCGAGAGAATAATCCGTTGGTGTTACCTGCCGAAACAGACCCAAGTGCTGAACAATGCAAAACAGTGATGACCATTTTAGGAGTGGATCCTTTGAAATCAGTGATGACAACAGTCGTTCCAGTAAAGGGTTTTTTGGTGAGAATTGTAGTTTTTCTCATGATACTGTATTGGGAATACGTCTTACAGAAGCACAATGCCATGTCTTTCAATGGGATGAATTATATTAGTAAGGGTGAAATACTGTAAATATTGGTGAAAATGAAAATGGTATTTTCACTGAGTAGAATAACATGTTTCTTCACTGAGTAGAATATCACTTTTGCCTGGAACTGCTTTCTGCTCAAGGGCTAGACTGTAGTTGGGTTGCGTAATAAAATCCAGACTTACTCGATGTCTCGATCATTTATAAACAATGATTAAAAATATAATAAATAGAATATTTGTTAATGTTGTCAAATAACATGTATATTTCATCTCGTGGTCCACTCGATGAAATACACATGTTATTTGACAATATTTATAAAATATCCGCAATATGTTATAAAACCAATTTCCTCCGTGACCTTTCACCGTGATTATTTACAGACCGCGGCCATAGAGCTCGAATATTGCTAAGTGCGGCGTTAAACTCAATTCACTCACTCACTTACTCTATTGACGACACACGTCTGTCTGTGTGACCAGAACAACTGACCAAAGTGGTGGTTCTCCAGGAGATATATCTCCTATTGTCGACACACGTCTCTCTGTGTATGGTTAGAGCGTCTGCCCGGAGAGCGGAAGGTCGCGGGTTCGATCCCCGACCGCGTCATACCGAAAGACGTTAAAATATGGTACTTGTTGGTCCCTGCCTGGCGCTCGGCATTAATGGGTACAACAAGGATTGGTCGGCTCGGAGTCAGTATAATGTGTCTGAGTGGGGTATCCATGCTTCACTGCTGCATGGTATCTCAGTGGGCTAGCACTATAAAACAAGCTTAAGTCTGGGCTAGTACAAGCAGCCGCACATACACATACACACGCATGCACGTCGTCATATGAGCAAAATATTCTCAAGCACGACGTGAAACCCAATGTAACCTCACCTCACCGCTCTTTGTATATTAATCCAGGGTTATTAACAAAAATATATCTTTTCTAGTTACATATAATAGTCTATGTAGAACATTTATATAGAATTTATGTCCTATAGTGTCCAGGATTTCACCCGCACATTTGACCCTGTCACGGTGTACTGTTGTTGGAGCATTATATACCTTGTCACAGCCGTAACATGCAGTCTGTACCTGTTTGTTTAACATGACAGGGACTTCCATAAGTAATTCTTTTGCCTATTACATATTCCTTAACCATTCTGAAATATCTGACTGACAAATTTCATTACATTATCTTTTAAAGTAAACATATAAAACTGGCTATTATTAAAAATGTCACTACCGTTATTGTGTCACTACCATAACAATTAATGTCAATGTCTGTCAGTTCTGTAAATCTTGCCCCTGATACACAGAGGGTTGACACATGAGGATGTTGTGCTACTAAATAATTGAAGTTAAACAATTTATGTTCAAATGCTTGTACATAGTCCCTGGTAACTTTTTTCTGTATTTATCTTAGACCAAGGGTTCGGTATCTCACGGTACCAAATCAAGTGTGTGAGTTGGGTTTCACGCCCAACTTACAGTAATCCAGGCACATCAGGATGTGTCAGTTTAGAATCTGGAGATCAAGTTCACCATTACGAATATAGAAACAGGCTATATATTGCCAGCAACTGAAGGTAGATCACCATGCCAGTGACCATGGGGACTTACAGTCACGCAGAAAGTATTACATGTTGAAAAAGTTAAAAAAGCAACACGTGTCGCTTGGTTCGCCGAAATGGGGGATCAACACGAACGGGCCAAAAGAAAGTCACACAGGCAGAAAGAGGATAACTACGCCCAATAGGATTCGATTCCTGACAGTGATGTCATCGTTTTCAAAGTAGCAACAGCGATTATATCCAAATATAGCTAGGTTTCTGCCCGAGCTCAATGCAATACATGGCCAAGGACGAACTTATTCGTTCAGGAAATGAGCTGTGTAACAGTCTGTATTAATTGTTTAAAGACTTTGTCACCCGTTTCACACTAAACTCGTCCAGGTGGACCTACTGCCTGCAACAGAAATGGCAAGTGTCAAATAATCCTAACTGAACTTTAAGCATTCTTCCCATGTACAGATACAGTATGACATCAGACTATGTTGTGTCTGCAACGATAGATCAGACCAGCACAAGACTAGAACATCAGACCAATATGTCAGACTAGTAGATCAGACCAGCACAAGACTAGAACATCAGATGAATACGTCAGTATGTAGAAGACTAACACTATGAATCAGACCAGCACAAGACTAGAACATCATACCAATATGTCAGACTAGTAGATCCGACCAGCACAAGACTAGAACATCAGACGAATACGTCAGTATGTAGAAGACTAACACTATGAATCGGACCAGCACAAGACTAGAACATCAGACCAATACGTCAGTATGTAGAAGACTAACACTATGAATCAGACCAGCACAAGACTAGAACATCAGACCAATACGTCAGACTAGTAGATCAGACCAGCACAAGACTATAACATCAGACCAATATGTCAGACTAGTAGATCAGACCAGTACATCAGACCAATACGTCAGACTGGTAGATCAGACCAGCACAAGACAAGAACATCAGACGAATACGTCAGATAAATAGATCAGACCAGTACAAGGTTAGTACATCAGACCAATATGTCAGACTAGTTCATCAGACCAGTACAAGACTAGTACAACAGACCATACTTTAGACTAGTAGATCAGACCAGTGCAAGACTAGTACACCAGACCTATACGTGACACTAGTAGATCAGACCAGTGCAAGACTAGTACACCAGACCTATACGTGACACTAGTAGATCAGACCAGCACAAGACTAGAACATCAGACGTACACGTCAGATTAATAAATCAGACCAGTACAAGATTAGTACATCAGACCTTTAGGTCAGACTGGTAGTTTAAACCAGCAAAAGACGAGTACATCAGACCAATACGTCAGAGCAGTACGTGAGTCTAGTTAATAAAACAAGTACATCACACAAGCAGATCCCTCAAATACTCCAGACAAGTACGTCAGACCTGTATGCAAGACCGGATAATAACCCCAAAAATACTTAGATGTATGTTGATGGCGACCTGCAGAATTGTAAAACGATGTATATCTAAATGTGATTAATTCACATTTCCAGCTTGTTCATTGCCTATTATATTATTAGATATTGGAAACTGGTACGTTCCCCAGATGTTGGGCAATTGGCATAATAGTTCCTATCCATAAACAAGGTAATATAAATAATCCAAATAATTACAGAGGCATAACACTACTGAGCATATTTAGTAAAACTTTCACCTTTATAATAAATAAGACTTGTAAACTGGGGAGACTCAATGGATAAGATCAGCGAAGCGCAAGCTGGCTTCAGACAGGGATATACGACAGTAGATCATATGTTTATACTGCAAAGTATTATTCAAAGGTATTTAAACTCTAAAGGGGGGAAATTCTACGCATTATTTGTAGATTTTTCAAAAGCTTTCGATTCAATACAACGAAAAAAACTTTGGCTTCT